GGAAGATGATTGTGTAGCTTTTACTCCCTGGAATCCATCTGCCCTTAACCGGGTGTTCTTAGGTCAGAGAAACCCCTCCTCCCCTCCTGAAAACTCCTGTGGGATGTATGACATCATTTGCCTAGGCCTGGAAACCATGAAGTAACTGAAGAAATGTAAAAAAAATGTAAATAAGTAAATATGTACTTTCCTATCTATTTACTAATGCTAGCAGCAGAAGGTTAAACAATAGTCGGTTGATTGAGAGAGTGAATTCGAAGCTTTAATCTGCAAAGAGCTGACTTGGTATTTCCCTGCAAAATTTGCAAGAAAGCCTTTCCCAGCCATTCCTTTCTACTGAGCCACACGTAGGTTCACTCCACAGCAAAGCCATTCATCTGCCAGGACTGCGGTAAGGTTTTCTGTCAAGGTGACTACCTGAAATCTCACTGCTGGTTACACACAGATTAACCACCTCCCACCATATAGTAATATGATGGATGCAAGGTAGTTCTCTCGTTCTGGGAGGACGTCATATGATTGATGTCAATTGGTGGTTATAGTGTACACAGGGTGACTTGCACGATTCACGTGTTACTCACAGTTGATTCTGTTTTTGCACAGATTGAAGTATATACTTCTTAGTTGTGAAGGTATATACATATTGTTTGAAGGTAATACACTATTTTAGTTTTATTTTATCGGGTCCGGAGTGATGGAAATATTGAAGTTGGACACACAGGATTGAGAGATTGTGTTGGACTTGGAAATATATTTTGGGACTATATTTAATTTTTTTTTTTAAAATTTTGTTATTTGAATTTTGTTTATTGTTTGGTTTATTAATTTTATTTAAGGATAAGAAAAAGGTTTGAATATTATTTACTTTCAAGGGTGAAAGTGTGAATTTTTCTTGGGATTATAAATTGTGTACCCACTATGTGAGTTTTATTCAGTTTTGTGAGTTACCGAGTGATTATGTAATAGGTTATATTGTTGTCAATGTCATAGTTCACATCAGCTTGGGGTTCCAGTACGTTCCGGCTGCAGGAAAAAAAAAGATGAACAGGCTTCATTATTCCTGCACACAACTGTAAACGCAGTAAAATGGATTAAAAACACACTGGAATGCACAAGCCCCTGTTTACATTGAAGCAAAAAAGAGTGGAAAAAATGAACAGGAAAGCATAAATAACGCACTGAAATGCGTCAAAAACGCGGATGCAGGAACTCATCCGAGACGCATCTAGACTGCGTTTCTATAGTGGGAAGTGACCCTAAATGTGGGTGCAATTTTATTTCCTTTTATTGCTTGTAATAAATCTACACTTAGATGGCGGCTCCCGATTTTGTTTGACAGTACAAGAGTTCATATCCAAATACTCATCCAGAGAAGCTGCAGCCATATCCAGTGGACATACCCAATGGTTACTTAGCACAAGACCTTCATACTTTCATACACCCAACTTCACTGCCTTCGCTTTTCTAGCGCCATATGACAAGTAGCACTAGATTTACTAAAGATTATTGGGATACAAGCTGTACTGGCAATGCTGCCATATTGGGCATGTTGAGCCCAGCCCTGGATCACCTCTTGTAAGATGTTGTATATTCTATGTAAGTCCTGGGTCACACCAGTGCGACTTGTCATGCGATTTGACAGTTACAAATTCCATGACAAGTCGCACCCTCTTTTGCACAATGGAACAGTTCAAATCGGTGAAATCTAACTCCATCAGAGTCGCCCCAATTTTGAAGATAGTTCCTGCACTACTTTTTGTGATTTCTGGAGCGACTTGCATAGAGATCTGTGCATGAAGTCGCACTGATGTCTTCCAAGTCACACGTGGAGTTGCACTGTCATGTGACCTTGAAATCATGCAACTTCAGGTTGGATCCAGTGTGAACCAGAGCTCACGAACAATGCATCTTTGTGAGGAGTCGCAGGCAGATGGGGCCACACTCGGCCTCAATTTCAGCTTCACTGTGGGAGTTGTCACTATCTAGGACTTCTCTTCGGGCCGGGAGTCAGAGTAGAGTATCTCCTATCTGAGGCTTCTCATATAGGCACTTTAAGGGAGGATTGCAATAAAGCGTTCGTCCATCTAAAACTGATATTCGAGAGTTTGATGGATGCTGGTGAGTCAAACCACATGACAGTCTTGAAGACTCTAATGGTGAGATCCCTGGTCTGTACACCTGCTCTGCCCCATTATACTCCCACAATCCCTATGCATAGATTCCATATCTCCACATCTGCTGTTCCCAATTTGAGGGGTTCCCACCATCCCTGTGGGAGTTCCCTCTCTTCTGTTCACCTGCTGTTCCCATTATGAGGGGTTTCCAGCATCCCTTTGCTGAGTTCCCATGTCTATGCACCTGCTGTGCCCATTATGAGGGGTTCCCACCATCCTTGCTTGATATATACATTATTCTGCACACCAAATGCCGCCCTGTAGCAATATATCTTCTATAGGGCGGATGGGAAGCGGTTAAACAGCTCCCACTGTTAGGACTTGTTTAGATTAGTAGTTGGGGATGGTAAAAATGTGTGGTTTTGCTACGCTTTTACTTGAGGGAGCAGATGGGGTATACACATGCTGCGGCAAGGATTATACCCCCACAACTGCATCACTGACCATGACTACCGTTTGTTGGTGCGTGTAGTTGAACTTGTTTTTGTGCTTCATCACAGAGTTCTCCAAATCTTTCATAGAAATGGTACCAAGATCATGGCTGCAGCTCTTAATCACTTCCCATCAGAACGTCTATGTATGGACTGTACATCAGATGGGAAGTAGTTATAGAGGACAAAACCTAGTCCACGTATGAACTACATTGTAGCCGCAAAGTAAAAAAAAAAAAGTCTTCCAAATGCTTTCCCAGTCCTATGATGTCCCCCATGGCTTGGATTGTGACCAGCTGGGTACTTGTAAATGTCACCTACTGTCCCGGCCAAGTCTTTATCTGAGTCTCAGGGAACTCTACAGGTCATTTAGACCCTACAAGCCAGCCAAGACCTCAATGGACACAGAGCTTCATCTCCGTCAAGGGACTGTAGGAGCTACAGAACCGTGCTAAAGGTTTAGGCTGTCAAGTGCAGCACTTTATCCTGGCAAGAGTCATCAACCAGCAGAACTGGAACATTGACCTACAGAGCACTGATGTACCCAGTGTGTGTACTGTTTCCAAAGCTACAGATGGTAGTTGGCAGGATTGGAACCTGCGTGGGGAAATCCCAATGGATTTAGAATCCATCGCCTTAACCGCTCGGCCACAACTACTAGGTAATGTGTAAAGTGAGGACGCTTTAGAAAAAAATGATGAATAATTTTTTGCTCTTAACCACTTGCCTACCAGGCACTTATACCCCCTTCCTTACCAGGCCAATTTTCAGCTTTCAGCGCTGCCGCACTTTGACAATTGCGCGGTCATGCAACATTGTACCCATATGAAATTTTGATCATTTTTTTTCTCACAAATAGAGCTTTCTTTTGGTGGTATTTAATCGCCACTGGGCGCTTTACTTTTTGCGCTATAAATTAAAAAATGTGCAAAAAATTTGAAAAAAAAAAAAAGTTTATTTGTTTCTTTTATAAAATTTTTCAAACGGGTGTTTTTTCTTCTTCACTGATTTGCGTTGATGAGGCGGCACTGGTAGGCGGCACTGATAGGCAGCACTAAAGGGCACTGATAGGCAGTACTAATGAGGTGGCACGGATAGGCGGCACTGATAGACAGCACTAATTAGGGGTCACGGATAGGCGGCACTGATATGCAGCACTGATAGGTGACACTGATTATGGGTACTGATAGACGGCACTGACTGGCATCACTTCTGGGCACTGACTGGCGGCACTGACTGGCACAACCCCTGGGCACTGACTGGTGGCACTGGTGGGCAGCACTGGTGGGTGGGCACAGGTGGGTGGCACTGGTGGGCACAGGTGGGTGGCACTGGTGGGCACAGGTGGGTGGGCACAGGTGGGTGGCACTGCTGGCACATGTAGGTGGCACTTCTGGGCACAGGTATGTGGCACTGCAGAGTGGCACAGGTGGGGGCACTGCTGGGCACAGGTGGGTGCACTGCTGGGCATGGGTGGGCGGGGCTAGTGGGCGCACTGCTGGGCGGAACTTGCGGATGTCACTGCTGGGCACCGATCATCAGGGCACTGATCATCAGTGCCCTGATGATCGGTGCCGATCCCCGCTGTGACAACTGCTGGTTCTCGGCAGTACTTTCCTCATGATCTGACAGCGTGAGGAAAGTGCAGCCGAGAACCGGCACTTGCATTTCCCTGTGATCAGCGTGTCATTGGACACCGCTGATCACGTGGTAAAAGGCCGGTGGGATCGGCCTTTCACCACATCTCGTGATCAGCTGTGTCCGTAGGAGAGCCAGGAGAGCGCGTTCTGGGAGGACGTCATATGACGTCCACCCAGAACTAGCCGGCCGCGGTGAAGCCGTCATTCGGCTATGCGCGGTCGGCAAGAGGTTAAACATGTCCAGTAAAAGAATTTTTAAAAATAACATTTTCGTCTTAACTTTAGGCCAAAATATATTCTGCTTCATGTCTTTGCTAAAAACAATCCCAATACGTGTAAATTAATTGATGTATGTGAAAGGTATAGCATTTACAAATGGTGGTATATATGCTGGGATTTTTTCTTTAATTTTTAATAATAATGGCGTCGATCAGCGACTTACAGTGGGACTGCGGTGGGCATTCTTACACTGGGGCTGAATTGACTTGGTGTCTCTGACATCCCCAGTGACACCAATACAGTGATCAATGCTAAACAAAGCAATGACACTGTATGAATGGCACTGGGCAGGAAGGGGTTAACATGAGGGGCAATCAAAGGGTTAATTAACTGTGTGCTGTTTCATTACGTGCTCTGTCTCTGTGCTTCGCTGTAAGGACACTGCTTTGGATGGCTGTGCTCTGCACAGCCATCCAAAGCAGTGTGCTCATGCTGACAGAGAGGAGAACTGTTTTGCTTACGAACAGTTCTTCTCCTCGTCGGAGATGCTTGGCAATCACTGGCCGATATCCAGTGATTGACGGTCGCGAATGGCGGCGCGGGTAGGGCGCATGCGTGCCCCTTACCCAGAAATGCGAAATCACGTACAGTATATACGTGATTTTGCATACCCGTGTCACCCTGTGGTACTATTTCACCTATAGGACGGTCGGGAAGCAGATTGTTTCCATACTGTTCAAATTAAAACAACTGACCATTCAACGTACTTAGACTTAAAGCAGAACTTTACTCTCCTAATCAACATTGACTATTTGTAATCCTTGTGCTGCTAGCATTAGTAAATAGATAGGAAAGTATATCAGGTTTACAGGATTTAAACCTTTTTTTTTTTTTTTTTTTTTTTTTTACATTTCTTCAGTTATTTCCTGTTTTTTTTTGCCTTGGCAAATGTCATACATCCCAGGAGTCTTCAGGAGGGAAGGAGGGGTTTTCTCTCAGCTAAGCACACCCTCCTGCCTACTTGCCTAAGCTGAGGGTAGATGGATTCCAGGAAGTGAATGCTATGTGAATCATCTGCCCTCACTCAAGATGGCCACGGCCAGAAATGCTAGCTGGTGTTTTTCAATTTGATTTCTCAATAAAAATGAAACCTGGAGACATGGATGGATGGGGGAGTTTGCTTTGAATATGAAAAATGAAGTAAATCACTTTTTCAGTTTGCGGTGCTCAGATGCAGTGTACTTCCAGAGTAACTCATACAAGAGCAATGTTCATGGGATCATTATAGATATGGTCATATTGGTATAAAACTCCCATAAAAACATATCCAATAAAAATAAACAGGCACCCCTCACCCTTCTCCTTCCTTTCCATATCCACCTCTCATATAACCAAAACACATCTACTTCCCCCTCCCCCATCCACTGCCTATCCTACAACAGCACCGAAATAAAGTCTGACACTGTACAAGCCACAGCACCCATGTGAATGAGCCCCAAGACCTCATTCACATACAGAGCTTTATTTAATAGCTCAATACAGTTTTATCTTTTAGATTTAGCAGGAATTTTGTAAGTTATGTTGTGCACCTCCCATCCGGAACCGATCAGGATATCCACAGAGCTCTCCTTGTCAGTAGATACTCAATACACTGCTTGGCTAAGTGTCCCACTTTCTTGTATATATGACAGACCTTCCATTCCCTGTACTCAGTGGCCATGTCTCGTTGTACCACAAAACCAGCATTACTTCCCTGACTCACATTCTGCGCTGATCTGGCCATGAATAAAACACTTTCTGCAATGCCTGGTGCTGTCCAGGGGAAAACCGCCCCATCTGTATCCAAGCTGTGAAGGGGTACTGCAACTAGCAAAGATGGCTGCTAGGTGGCAGGAACCGTCTATGTCCTTGTAACAAAGACCCAAGGGGTGTTTTTACTTCTTGGGCACATTCTTTTTTTCGTGGATTAATAGAGGTACTTTGTATCCCTTATTCACATATTGTTAAATAGATATATTCCAGATTCCAATATGCCCCCCACCCATAGGCCCCTTGTAACCACCGTGCCAGTGTTATGAAGAAGAGGTCCTACAAGGGTCAACGATCATGTGACCATTGTGATTGGTTGGATTGGCTGTCACAATGATCACATAAACGGAAGCTGGTCCCGCCGGCTACCGATGTTTTCACAGGACCGAGAGCTGTTTTTGGCGCAGAAACATTGCCCACCCAGCAGCTCATATTTGTTAAAGCCCAGCTTTTTGCCGCCGCAAATATTGGTTACTAGGGCGTAAAGGGTTAAATGTCCCTTCTCCTTTGTTTACATTCATCTGTCAGCCAGCTGACAGCTAAATGATCCGGGCGGGGATGTAAGGATGCCAGCAGGTGCCTCTTTAAACACCTACACAAAACTCGTACGTATGTGCAGTTTAAATACATTTTTGGTGCATTTTCTGTGTAAATCTCTTCGGCCAAAAAAGAGCAACAACAGCAGCAAAGTAGCACTGGTACCTTTTCCAAAAGTGCAGTGCTGTTGCGCTGAATAGAAATACTTGTCACTTGTCCCAGACTTGCTGGCACAGTCCCTTTTTCAGTCATCCGTCCCACCCCTTCCATCCCCCAGGCTGTGTCCCTCTGAGCAAGGCGGCAGCTACACATTCAGTATGTGTACAGCCTTGTCAGGCTGTTGTGTTAGCATTTGGGTGGGCAGGTGGGGGAGATAAAAAACTGCTACTCAGATGCTCGTTTTTACTACTGTCTGTGTGAAAGAGCTCTTTGGGGTCAATCACAGGTTGTACTTTCATACCAGCTGCACTCCTTTCTCCCTGTACTGACTATGTGCCATTGTAAACTCTGATGAATCAGCAGGGCAGTGTACAAGAGTCAGCACGGCAGGGTACTGGGGTCAGCACCGCAGGGGGTACAGGGGTCAGCACGGCAGGGTACAGGGAGTTAGCAGGTAAGAGGACAGGGGTTAGCAGAGAAGAGGATAAGGTCACTTCTGGCAGAGCACTCAACAGAGCTCCTCATTCCATCCCCGCACTGCAGACAACCTGGGCACTTGGCCAGTGGTGTATTTAGGTTTTTTGCTGCCCTAGGCAACACAAAAATCAGACCTTCCCCCAGACATTCCTCCCACGCAGGGATTCTGACAGTGACCAACACCCTTGCCTCCCCCCCCCCACCCAAGAGAGCCTTCCACTAACACCACTCCACCCCCCCCCCCAGCTCATTGTGAATAACGGAACCATCTTCTTGATCCATTTTACTGATGAGCATACGTTGTGTCTCTATGGAGACAATGGCCTTGTCCCAGACTATCACTGAGCTGTTGGTCCACTTCTGTTTGTAGAGCTGACGTGATGGCACAGCTCATTGTGAATGACTACACTGTGTGAGTAGACAAATTAATCTCTTATAGGGTATCCATCAAAGTCCCCAGATAGATAATTAAACCTGATGTAGTCCAGAGGAGGAAGAAAGTTACATAACAAACATATATGAATGGTGATGTCTTCACCTCCCTCCGGTACCCGAAGAGCCAAGGGCACCATCCAGAGGAGGACACATAACCTCCCTCATACATCAAGAAAGGTCTGGCTCATACACAGGCCAAGTAGGCATATCTTTGTGAAACAGAAGGCATATTGGTGAGCAAGTCCTGAAGTATGGACAGTCCCAAGTTATCAAGGCAGAGCAAAGGTAGGATTGTTGGTAATTATCGTAACAGCATCAAGATCAAAGTCCCTGAGAGACCTCTAGGTGTGAAATAGGCCTTTTTCTGACTGATTTCACTGGTACAAAACCGGCTGCCTCAGAGGTAGGCTCAAAAACTGTTTTTTTTTTTTTTAAAAATGATATGTTTTTAAGATATTTTTTTTTAAGGCCCATTAACCGCAGCAAAGGGCATGATGCTCTCCTCCATGAAGACTGGGTAGACTGCAGCTTGATGGTACGGAGCTGCTGTTTCCCAAGGTGAAGGTTCATTTATCACAGTATTGCGCTCTGACATTCTGCTCTGATCTGGCCATGAATAAAACACTTTCTGCAATACTTGGGCTGTCCAGGGTAAAACAGAAAGCCCCATCTGTATCCGAGCTGCGAAGGAGTACTGCAACTAGCAAAGATGGATGCTAGGTGGCAGGGACTGCCTATGTCCTTGTAACAAAGACCCAAGGGATGTTTTTATTTGGGCACATTCTTTTTTTGTGGAAAGGGGTGCTTTGTACCCCTTACTCATTCACATGGAGGTGGTATCTAGTTCCCCCATATTGTTAAAGGGATATTCCAAAGTCCGACAAGCCCCCCACCCATAGGCCCCCTACACCCACTGAGCCAGGGTTGTGGTGAAGAGGCCTCAACAACACGGGACAAGGTGCTTTGCCAAGGCACCCCAGTGTTGAGGGCAAGTTACCTGGTATGGGTTTTTTTTTTTTTTTTTTTTTTATGTTGAATCACTTAAAAAATTCATAGCAGGTAAGAATTGTGTAGGAACTCCTCTGTTTTTTTATTTTTGGTTAACCTCTTCCAGCCCAACTTTTTGTCCCTTTAAAAGTTCTTAACGCTCGAGGGGTGGGAACGGTCGGCGATTACGTGACCACTGTGATTGGCTTTCACAATGGTCACATAAATGGAAACCGGTCCCGCGGCTACCGATTGCTTGTTTTGGACCAAGAGCTGTTTTTGGCGCATAAACATTGCCCCCCAGCAACTCTTATGCTGCAAAGTCCCGCTTTTTGCTGCCACATATGTGGGTTACTAGGGCATAAAGGGCTTTAACATCCATCTCCTTCGTTTACATTCAGGTGT